TGCAACAATCCTCATAATATATAGCCAATCAACTTTATCTCAAACAATTCAAAATTCTAGATTCAATCCTTAATCCTGGTGAATCTCACAACAATAAATATAATGAAGGGAAAACAATTTTTTCTTTTCTTTTAATTAATCATGAAAACAATTAAATCTTCAACTTACAGTTGCTGGTCGATGTTGCTGACTTGTCTCCCTCACGCCAAAGTTAAAAACACATTCAAGCACACATTTGCTTGAAAAGCACTCTGAAGATCTTAAATGTTAGCTGCACTGCGATTGTCACAAGCCAGATTGCTTGGAAGAAAAGATCTTAGGGCCTGAAGTATCAAAAATCGCTGCAGCAGAGCAGAGTGATGGCGCAAATACATGTACATGTACACAGCTCAGAATCCTGGAGACAATTCCCTCACTTTCCCTTCATATTCCAGCAACCTTCCACTAATTACCATCTCATTTCCTTACACTCATTCAAACTTAACTTCATTCCCATTCTTATTTAAACCAAAGCTCATGAATATGCAAAATGTCTACATTACCAGAGTGGAGATACCAGAAATGTGTATTGTGTGCGTGTGGGTACATGGAAGATGCTCATAGAGGTATCGTGTGTGGAATGTGTTCTTATTGTTATCTTGATCAGTCAACCACGGCTGGCTAGGTTTGGGCTCTGATCCACTCATGCATATTTATACAAGGTTAAAAAAACAGAATTATTCACACTACCTATTAAATAGTCACAGATACAAGGGAAGGGTGGTTTTATTGTGACACAGACTAATATAATCATTGTGATTTTGTATTCAGGGGCCGGGAATCAGATCTAGTTGCATTATGGGTATATCTTCCTATAGTCCTGCATATCATTTGCATTTGAAAATCCTCCCAACGTTTCCTAATTCATTGCCCACTACCGGTCCCTATATTCGAAGTCCGAAGGACAATGGAGGGGCCGGGAACCAGTCTATTATAATCATGTACGTGACTGGGCGGAGCTTAGTGTCCAGTCAGCTGCTGCGTGCATGGCATTGGTTGCCAGTTGGTTGGCCATCAAAAGATGGTGTCCAGCCCCCCCCCCCCCACCAACTGGTATTTATTTTACGGAGGCCGAGTGATAGGTAAAAACAAAAAACCTGTCTACCTTTCAGCACGGATGTTACAAAAATTGCTGTCCCCCTCTGTAAAATCCAGCCCCAAACTTGCCTCCCCCGGCCCCTCATGGCGAGAACGCTGGCTACACCACTGGGTGCAGCGTCCATGTTGTGCATGGCAGCACAAGAGCGAATAATAATGGACCGGTTAATGGTATTATAATGATCATATTTTTGATGAAAAGTAAAAACTACGATGCCATATGCATCCTATTTATTTTGCGGACATTATCCTCCATATTTGTAAAAATGTATTAATGTTTTATGGCAAAGCCATTGAACAAGCCATTTAGTAATAAGGAGCCGGATGGGAATTTCCCCTTGTTTTCTCCCAAAAGGGTTTTTCGCCCCTCCCGTAATCAGCGAACATAATTTTAGCAATATATTTTCTTGATGTTACAAGATAGATCCAAATTATGTGTGAATTCACCATATAGTAAAGCCTGTTAGCGATGTACGTTGTCTCACACTGTACATGTAGTTATAATAGTTTTACAATATATTGTATTATTTGCTTTACAATTATGCATTAATCAAATAAAGCTTTTATCCCATTGTATTGTATTGTATTGTATTGCACTGCACTGCACTGCACTGCATTGCATTGCATTGTATTGTATTGTATTGTACTGTACTGTACTGTACTGTAGTGTAGTGTAGTGTATCGTATTGAACTGTACTGTACTGTATTGTATTGTATTGTATTGTATTGTATTGTATTGTATTGTATAGTATTGTATTGTATTGTATTGTATTGTATTGTATTGTATTGTTACAGTATTGTATTGTATTGCATTGCATTGCATTGCATTGCATTGTATTGTAATGGAATGTAATGTAATGTATTGTATTTGTATACATGTTTGTAGTCATTTTTTTATTGTATGCAGGGCCCAGTTTTGAACTGTTTGCGCATACTCTGGGTAAAGAAATGTAATAAATATAACAGTGCAGCACATGCGAATGAACAACCAATAAACATGAGAAATGATATGAATGCATAACAAAATCAACCATCATCACACCTAAAGAACATGTACGACCTATCATTACTTCAGCTATTCAAATGTAGTAATGGCTGCTATTTGCAACCGAAAATTAAGAGGCAAATGCTTGGGTAATTGAACTCGTATGCTGTATATCAGCTAGGCCATATGATTTCGATGAAAAAACCCAAACAATCTCAGTAACTTTTTGTACACAGGTATACTTTTCGTACATATAGGTATGGTCAACGCACAGCGTTTGGCCCAGTGAATGACCATAAGCTGGGGTCAGTGGTAGCCATACTCGGTCTTTGGTCGTTCGTTTTCCCCAAGTTTTTCTTCGTTTTCTTGGGTAACCTTTCTCTCCTTTCCATCCAAATTCTTCCCACTGCTGACAACAATCACGAACTCCTGGAAGGTCGTCTCTTTAAACGGTGAATTTTACCAGTTTCGTCAAGCGGCTAACGCACGGCCGCACGGGCGTCACCGCGTTTCCTCCTTGCCCTCCTCGTCCCAGGTAAAACTACGCAGTTTTCTAAGCCGCCCACGAAGCGCTGAATCGAGGTTGCAACTCCTGCCCTCTATCGGCGGTTCCAAGAAATGGACCTTATTCGCGAGTCGGCCATACTGAATTGAAAGCAAGGCAAATTCATTTTTGGAAGTGAGAGTAGAAATGAAAGCTATGAAATCGAGGTTCATTTCAAATTAACAGTCTGCTCGGATGAATAATGTAAAATTTGTGCTTGAACTCAACGCAAGTCCAGTTGTAGAAAACACTCTGGCACCATCCCATTCAACAGTTTACAATTTATAAAATAGATTCAGGGAACACGATCGAAACTGGCTTCCTGGCGGAGTCGTGAATAATGGAGGTCATTATTCTGACCCACATAACAGAAAAGCCCCCGCGTTTGGATAATAATAATAATTTTTCTCGATAGGATCCGTAGTATTGCACCACTATCGTTTTATCAATTTGTAAACCTGTTGACATGGTTGTTGTTTCCCACCGTCTTGCATATTGATAAGCCGGTGATTTACACAGGAAAACTGTCGTAACACGCAAGCGTTTTTTTTCTTTTTCACAATTTGCGTCCAAATGCACAATATTTAGGCAGACAACCTTTTCGCCTGCTTTTCGAAACCCAGAGAAAGTTCGAGACGGTTTGGATTTTGTACTGGGGGTCGCATGGATTATTTTCAAGGAGCTTTCATCGTACATGGAGAAAAAAAGAGAAAATGTAGGGGGGGGGGGGAGAGCTGGACATCATCCGTTGCTGTGGATGTTGTTCAAATCTGAGCAGTTTTAAAGGCCTCTTTCAGGCGGTTAAAATATCAAACATTTACACTACAATATATTTTTTTTAAACCAAGCTACATTGTTTCCCCTTCTCCCCCTTCTTTTGGCATTACTTAGTTCCCGCATAGACTCTATGGTAGAATTTAACAGTGGTTTTGGGGTTCGTGCGAAAAAGTCAATAACATAACTAGGGGTGCCCCCGGACTTGAAAACCCCCTCTCCCGTCTGAAAATAATAGCGATATAAAGATCGTGAAAGCTATGATCAACTCATCGAGTGCCTGTCTCCAAAATAAGCCAATTCCCAAATGCCCTTCCCCTATAAATTTTACTCTTCTTACGCCTCTGCAGTTAATTTATTTTGTTTATCATTATCATTATACCCATATACTTGTAAAAGGCCGAACACATGTTAAAGTTTGAAAAGAAAGCTGCGCGTCCTACGAAAGCCTATATGGAAACTCATATGACCAACGTCACACGTTTAGGGAGAAAATTCAACCAAATTCAGGGAGAAAATTCAAACTCTTTATTTTTTTGGGGGGGGGGGCAATTCTTATATCGCGATGTATATGGCAATATTATATAGATCGATAAGAATGCGTGCAGGCTGGTAACGTGCTCAATGAGAAAAACACTCAAATCAACAGGTTTTTTAAACAGATATTGGTATAACGTCAAGAATTAAATACACGCTGACCAAGATTGTACCACTTATTTCGAGGGGCCGTTAAAGAAAATTGGGAGGGAATGGGACATCTATGAACTTGCATTTAGAAGGACCTTTTGTAACCTTATAATCTTCATCTTCTTTAATCCAAGGAAAGGACAGATAAATAGTTGAGAAGTTTTACCATTATTTTGCAATGTTCTCTTCAAGATAGTGTTCTTTGAAATAGTGTGAGTTACGTAACGACTTGCTCCCTTCTCAGTGTGGAGGAGAAGAAGGAAAGGACCTCCCCTGTCTTGAGGCGGCAAGAGTTTCTTGCTCTCTTTTTTGGGGGGGGGGGTTTAATCTATGGGACTTGTGCAACTGGTGCAGACTAGGACTTCTATTTAATTTTTACAAAAACTTTACAAAACTGCGCGACACAGCTAAGCAAAAAAATATATTGACAATTATCTATTTTATTAATATATAATAAACGCATTCACACCGGCCTGCGTTTTGTTCCGCTACTTTTTATTTCCATAACTTTAATTTTGCTTTTCCCCGCGCCTTTCAGCCACTTAAAAGTCTTGAGCGAAATGCGACATCTACTGTGTAGCTACAAAGGTGAAGCGTGTCAGTCGAACTCTTAGGTTTTATCAAAGTTTCGCACGAAAGGCGCATTTTTAACAATGTGGGAAATTCTTATTTGTCAAAACATATGTTGCTGTTCGAACGCAGCTACTCCGGTGTTATCTCGTTGTGATAGTTGGTCTGCTAGTTAATTTTTGATGACGAAACCTATTTCTCCCTGAAAGGAAGTTTGATGAAAAAAATAATCAACGTAATCGTTCCACTTTGATTACCCTGGTAGAGAATGAACGTCAGACGACAGAAAAAAAAACACTGCAAAACACATAAATACACTCAGGCAACCAGTACGAGTCACTCCAAAGTTATCGTGAAAACTGGTAAGTTTTCTCTTGTAAATTTGTGTGGGGTCCTCGTACACCCATTTTACACTTTGCACTGTGTATCTTTCTTTTTTTTGAACGATAAATCTTGCCATACTGTCAGAAATACGAGCGACCTTGTCCAACCATTGTTTTGACTTTGCAGGTTAACTTTCCGTTGGAAGTGTGCATACCAAACCCTTCGAGCGAACCATGAAGTTTCTGGTGCTGTGTCTGTGTGTTGCCGTGGCCAATGCCGGCCTGGCTCCACTCATTACTTCCAATAGTCGCACTGTGCCCGACAGCTGGATCATCAAAGTCAAGGTAACATTGTCGTAATACTCGGACTCGTTCTTTTTATGCGTGTCCTCGTTTTCGTCAGAATGTGCCCGTACTCGTACTCGTTTGAAACAAGTACTGTTCTCGTATACTCGTACTCGTAATCATTAAATTGTTCTTCCGTTGGAATTAAATGTTTTTAAGATAAATGCAGAAAAAGATTCGACTTTTTGCGAGCTTTTGCATAATTTAATGCCTAGTTTGACAGCATGCAAACAGTCTTTGTTAATATGCGTAACCAATGAAAATGTCCTCATGATCGTGGAAAGTACTTCGTCATTGTCTTTATTGTTCGTGCTCTTGTGAAAGTACTTCACGACACTCATAATCGGATCAGTACTCTAAAAAAAAAGATTTGTTTTCGAACTCAAATGTACTCAACTTCAATACTGCAACTTAAGCATCTGGTATAACAGAACATGTTTTGCCAGCAGGCTTTCCAAAACAGATTTGTTTCTCAGAAGAGTAAGCCTATATGCCTTGCCAGCATGTCTTTAGAACCTTCGTGCTTCATGAACAATTTGTCACAATCCGAAACTCTATTTTCAAGGGTGTATTTTGCCACGATTTTTTCATTGTTTTGTGGCGAGTATTACTCTTGAAAATGATTTTCTTTTATCACTTGTGCAACTACCTGTGTTTGCACTTACAAAAACACCGGAAAACTGAAAACTGAAAATCCTTCTGTTTGGAAACGCTTTATATTGTGCATGCATGCATTTACGATGCTTGTATCATAATTAATTCAACGTTATACCTAACTGTTCTACCCATGTCGTTTGCCTACCTCTCTTAGGATGTGAAGGAGATTGCTCGCATCGAGAAAGAGATCAAGAAAGTCCTCGAAGAGGTGCGTGCCGCGGTTCCCACCGTCGAAACGTACGAACAGGTCCTGCCAGGCCTAGCTCTCAAGATCCCAGCTCGCGCTCTTAAAGTGGTAAGTCGCTGATTCATTGTGAACGGGCCCCTATACGGTCCAAATACTGGCTTGGTTCCCAGACCAGACGATTCTGACGTCTCACGAGATTTTGAAATGCTCAAATGTCCGGAGTTTAAATATTCAACAATTTTAAGAATGATAACAAGCACGGCAGATAATTTGTAAGTGAAGTAGAGATGTCTCTTTGGGCCATACTCCTGAGAAAATAGCGGCGATAAAACGGTGGTCGTATGCAAACACTAAAAAAAGATGCATTCCCTGCGCCCTTTCTGAGTTTCATTTCGGAAAATAGAATTTTATTCAATTGCTATTATACTAGCAATATAAAAGGTTGTTGACTTTTGAATGAGACACTGAACAAAAACGAATCCACCAACATTTAATTATGGAAACATTTCTTCACACAATTTGAATTATTGGATGCCAGACAATAATTAGGCTTTCGTGTGGTGGGTTATTTGTGCGCTCAAAGAAAGCCCTCTTTCAGAGGATTGCAGGCACCCTCAATCTGTATGAAATATTTGTTTCCGTTAAAATAAAACTTACAAAAGTAATTGAAAATTTGTTAGGAGAAAAAAACCCAGTTCGTTGGAAAGCATGGGGTATGCCCTCCAGTGCCTTTACTTAAATCTAACAATTAAAGATTGTGAGACTGTAATTTTGAATTGTATTCCTACGTCTATAACATTGGATACAAGTCTGATAGTATACCTTCGAAATGGTGTCGTCGCAACGCCATCATTTTGTTCAAGAATAATGCCTATTTTGAAAAATGTCTATAAGAAATTAGAAATGGTTCTTTTAAAATAAAAATCACTCTTTTACGAGGTTAAGTGCTAAATTTGTAAGCCATAGCTGGGTGAAGCACTGCTTGTCGTCAGTGACTGCGTATACACCCACCCAGACCCTCTATCCAATTAAGTCAGTAATGGAGATCAGTGGTCATTACCTATTTGTTCAGGTGCAAGGTATTGAAGGCATCGAGTACATTCACGAGGATGTGATCGGAACCATCTACGGCTCGCAATCCGGCGCAACGTGGGGCATCGATCGTATTGACAGTCGCACTGGAACTAATGGTGTCTACAATTACAACGATAATGGTAGGCCTATATCGTGTGGCATGGTACCATGCAAATAGCTCCATCAGTTTTTTTTTGTGGTATTCCTAAGGCCCTATATTTAAAGAACTACAAGGACGATTGGGTTAAAACTTGGTATGCACGTACACAGGGATGAGTTATAGGTTAAAATAGGTTACGGCATGGACTAGCATCCCGTCCAGGAGCAAAAGAAATATTCTTAGTCGTTTCATGATAATGTAAACGGAGATACGCTGGCCTGATGGGCGACATTTGCCCCTGATTTTTTTTTTGTTTACTATACATTGCTACATTGCATTGTTATTGGAAGTGGTAATCGAGCACTCAAGTTTGTTTGAATATAATATTTATACCTTCTTATATTCCTAGATATAAGTTGTACCATGTATATTGTGTTGCACAACTGTTGCTTTTCAAAATTGCTGCTGAAATCAAAGTATCATTTTGATTGTCTCTGGATATATATTTGTCTTCTTTCTGAATAGCTCAAGGCAGCGGGGCGAGCTTCTTCATTGTGGATACTGGAATCCGCACAACTCACCAAGTGTTCGGTGGACGAGCCTCCAGAGTCTACGGAGCTACTGACGATCATGGGCACGGGACCCACTGCGCCGGCACTGCTGGTGGTGACGTCTACGGTATCGCACGTCAAGCCAATGTCTACAGCGTAAAAGTCTGCAACTTCTGGGGAAGCTGCCCGCTTTCCACGGTCCAAGCTGGTAGGTCGTCTCCCGCTAAAGTTGTGCTCCTTTTATCTCACAGAGAGCTCATTTCTCGGCACCAATGCTCTTTTCATGAGTATGTTTCTTTGTCGATCAGTCGATCATCAGATCAGTCTGTCGGTCTTGATATGTTCTCTCCTTGTAGTTTATAAAATCTTGCCTTTTCTTGGGGCTTCCCTTTTCATTTCCATGGTTTCTCATTTCCGGCCGACCCTACTTCTATTTTATTTATTTTTTAACCGCCAACCCTGCCTGGATTCCCATTAAAACACAATTTCTTGTGCCGTAGTTGTGGGGACATACACTCGTCTGTACGGGGTAGTTGTGGGGACCGAGAAAGTCCCCATAACTCGGTCCTAATGTGTCTAACAATAAAAAACTTTACCATATTACGCAGTGTAGGCCTAACCACACACACACACACACATTAAAAAAACTAATGCAAAATTAATTATGTAAGGAACGGCGTATAAAGCAACCAGTGGAATCCCAGAAGATGAGAGGATGTTGCCTCTCATCATATTAGGTGTGCATTTTATATCTGTACTGGTATGTCATGGCTGCCACTACGTTAGTGAGCTGCTTGGTGCAGATAAAATGTAAGTCAACTTAGTATGGTTTCATTATTTTATTCAATGATATCAACTCATGATAAAGTCTTTGCAATACACAAAACAAGTGATAATATGCACTTGGTATCATTTCATTTAGCCATCTATACGGATGCATTTTTTTCATCTTTTATTTTGACCAACCGACCCTACTTCAAGAGGAAAATAACTAATGTACATATAAAAATAAAACGAGACGCCCTTGAGTATGCTTCGTAAAGGTAGATTTTTATTAACTCGAAATCATTGTTTAAATCCTGCACGTTGAGGTGAGTGACTGTTCTGGGGAGCTGAACAAACTGTGTGTCTTATGGGCTATCCCAGGCCGGGTAATAATTTGAGTAATAATTTGTTGTTTCCCTACAAAAGGCTTGAATGCGATCGTGAGCCAGTTTGGCACGGGCAACGGCAAGGGAGTGGTGTCAATGTCTCTTGGCTTTTCGAAGAACTCACAGATGGACACGATGGTCAACGACATGCTTACCAAAGGCTACACCGTGTCCGTTGCTGCTGGCAACGATAACTCCAATGCCTGCAACGTCTCCCCCGCCAATGTTCCTGGGGTGAGTTGTTCAAAAGGACGAAAATTATAATAAAACCAAATGTCTTGAATCTGGTCATATTTTTCAAAGTCGAACACCTGGTATTTATTAATGAGGAGGTTTGATTTTAAACAGGTAAGTTACTCTTTAAGCCGCGAAACCGATCAGAGAGTTCATCCTGTATGGCGCACCATGTAGCTGTCTTTTGAGAGAGCTCAACCAATTCGAATAATCTGTATGCTTGATACGCCGAGGGTGCTGCTACGAATGCATTTTATGGGTATACCAAGACTAGAAAAATCGCGTTAGTTGAAACCCTTTGGTAACGTTACTTAAATCTAAAAAAAAATAAACATTAAAAAAATGTGATTTTTTGAGCTCTAGGAATATGTAAAGTGACGTCAATTATCTTCCATTCATAACCCAAATGCCGTAGTAACAGTGCCCTCTTCGCTTTAGAACAGGGCCTAGGCTGTAGACCTTTATCATGCTTCCACCATTTCAGTCATGTTCCCTGTATCCAATAACAGTACTGAATGATAATGTTTTTTTTTGTGCAAAAAGGAACCAGACTATTTTTGTCTACCAGCCTCGCTTTGGTTACATTTATTTAAATGGGGAAAAAATCCAATGGCTACAACATGATAATGGTCTATTGCAAAAAGCCTCACCTGACGCTAGAGGACGCTGTTCATCAAATAACATTGTGAATAGTCGGGCAGATTCTATTGTGCAACTGAATGATTTATTTATGTATTTATATATATATATTTTCTTTTCCGTTTTTTTTTCATTTTCATTTTCATTTTGAGGGGTTAAGAGGGGGCGAAGGGAGTCAGCTCAAGCACCCCATCCCTGGGATTGACAGCTTCTTCGCCAAAGTTGCACAACTTATTCTACTATTGTTCGCGTTCATTATCGAAGTGATGAAATATCATCGATTTATGATGTGATTTTGTTTTCAGTGCCTCACTGCTGGTGCCTCAACCTCCAGTGATTCTCGGGCGTATTTCTCCAATTATGGCTCTTGCGTGGACCTGTTTGCTCCGGGCTATAACATTGTCAGTGCTAGCTACTCCTCTGACACTGGAAGTGCAACCATGTCGGGAACATCCATGGCTTGCCCTCACGTGACTGGTGAGTTTCCCGACTTTTTCCGATCGCAAGTCCATACAGACGGTTTAGTTTTGTTGGGCGCTGTAATGACAACATCAATATAACAGAAGTCAATCAGTGATCATTCACACACACCGCCATGTCCTGATGATTACCAGTCCCTTGCCTAACTATTCACACTGCTTTTCATTTGCAGGTGCCGCCACTGTTTACTTGGGTTCGAACCCAGGTTCCTCCCCATCGGCCGTCCATTCTGCCATCGTGAACGCTGCCACCAATGGCGTCATTTCCGACGCCCAAGGGTCTCCCAACAAATTGCTCTACGTCGCGGTAAGCACTCAATTACAACTACATTTAGCCCGATAAATACAAAATGTACTACGTATTCCCCGTCTCTCACAGCCGCGTTCACTTTGCAACAAATTTATATATATATTTTTTAATAGAAAACTTTAAGAGGTTGCTGCTTGAATACAGGCAACATCCATGATCGTACATCGTTGTAAAAGTTGAATTGGTAACATATTGCAGGACACACGTGCCAGCCTATTGTTTTCTGACTGATTCTGACTCAGGTTACATGTAACATACATTTTGGTTACATTCGTTTAAAAAAGTACGACTGTTTTAAACAAACCACATCAACATTCGATAGCAACATTGCTTAGTATTTGGGATTGTTTGCTTTGCCTGTTTTTTTGTCAACACATCTTTTCAAAGCATCTTGTTTTCCCATTTCACTTCGCAGCCTTAATTTCATACCAGCGACGTTGGGCATGTGATACTCCAAGAATCATGCAACAAGATTTGAGAGGCTTAAGATGCAGAAATCAACGATGGATCAAGACTCTACTGGATAGCACTGATTGTTTGCAGCATTTCGCAACATTTTATCACAATGCCTCTGTCACAACAAACGGACATTTCTTCTCAATGAAAATATAAACCAAGATAAAGTCAGTGTCGTGGGCTAACTGACGAAGTTTCTCCGAACATTAACTTTCTCCTGAAGAAATAAGAGTACCTAACGTTTAATTCCTACCTGCTTAATCAATTCTTGAATCATGAATCACTTCAGTTTTGGTCAACACCAGAAACATTGAAATGAGCAACAAAGGGCAAACTGAGAGCAATGAAAGCACTATCTTGAAAGTTATTAGTTGAGACAAAAAGTAAGATGGATTTTAAACCAAATAATTTTGTGAAATCTCAACAGAATGATGCCAAAAGCCTCTAATAAAATTAAGTAAACTGCATATTATCTGCCGAGTCTCAATTTTTTAAAAAGTTTCATGTGTCTCCCTTTTGTCTCTAATCCTCATTCCTAGGTTTGTAATTGAACTTTGTAGCGACAGCTCTCATTTGTTTTGTACACGAATTTCAATCGTGGACGTTTGGTCAAACGTGGACGTATTGTTTGTGCCCTATTAACCCTTTTGTCCTAGGCATTAAAATTCACATAGACACCAGTGCTTGTGAGAAATCAACTACAGCTCCGCTCAGCTTTTCAGTGATTAGTGATCCTAGCCTTGACAGTCATGTGGTTGCTAAGGCTATCCGTCTGCCGTTGTTAAGGAATTAATAAAAGCTTATCCGATTACGTACTTAGACGCTATAGCAAAGCAGTGAAATTCATGCACCACAAAAAATGGCCTTTTGGACGTTGTGTTTCTCAGAATATGCTCAGTATGATTGAAATGTTAAATTACAACGGAAGAAGAAATTCTCAGCTTCATGTCAGTGAAAAAATTGCCGTCGTATATGCCGAAACGTGAATACTGGTTTAAAGAAATCGTTCAAAAACTTCCCCAAATCTATATACTCATATCATTTCTAGGAATTTTTCCAAATTGTTATTTCACGAGTAGTTAAACGCTTATATCATCTAAGTATGTTCCGAATTTCAGCTTAATCTGTTGTTGCAAACGCTAGTGTTACAACTACAACTATATCCATGGAAAATTTCGACGAGGCTTTTCTGCCGACACTACCCACGTGCATTGTTCAGTTTCGGCCAAGCAACACAATAACGTATGGTAGATTAGCATATTCATTAGCGTCACTCGGAGTGTTTTGGCGTGGCTCTCGGTATCGACCACTGGAAGCCATCAAAAAGGTTGATATTTATATTTGAAAACTCGTGAAGGAGGCTTTTCTCCTAATTTTTTACTGCACACCATAATGGGTAGGAACCTTATTATTATTCATAAGGCTTGAAAAGATTGACAGATATTGAAAACGCCAGTGTTACAATTTTCAAAAATGCACGTAGCCAGGTCTTTTTTTCCAATTTCAACGAAAAGTAAAGAACATATCACAACAATTTTAAGCACATACTTGGATGATTATAAGGGAAATAATTCCTGAAAGTTGCATGAAGATACGGTCTTCCAAACTGAAAAAAAATATTTTTCAAAGATTTCACCCACCAACCTGAACATGTCTGTGTACATGTAGTTTCATTCAAAATAAAGTGTTACGTAACCTTTAAACAATCGCCCTTCGCAACCACATGACTGCTGATGGGGCTCAAATCTCCGATTTTTAAAATAAAATTACGGATAAGCACTGAAAAAGAAAGCAGTGCCCAAAAGAACCCAAAGGACCCAAAAGAAGGATAACAAAGTGCAGTAGTGATAATTTTGTATAGAAATTGTGAAAAAAAATTACAAATTATTAAGAAAGTTTAATGTGTCCTTAAGCAGAAGGCCTTGGTTCCTGTTGTTGTAGGATGACCCACAATGGCGTCTGGCAGGCTTTTCCATACTGGTACCACTGCAGCAATGAAGGAACGGTCTCTCCACCTAACCAGTTAATCCTTGCTAGGCGAAACTTCCCAAAGATGAGCTAGCCCTGGTAGACCTTGATGAAACTCTTAATGGGGGAAGTTTGGTCTTCAGAAGTACTGGCGCTAGTCTGAAACCAAGGTCTGCCACAGTTCTCCAATGTGACAAGGGGTCAAACTTCAACTCCTGCGAAGGAGCCTTGATGACACTTAGGGCACGGCATTGTACATCGTCCAGCTTCTTCAGGTGTATGGTACTTGCAGACATCCAAGCTAAGTGGGCATACTCTATTGTACTCCGGACATTATGCTTTGTACACTCTGGCACGGCCCTGGGGATTGAGGTATTAGGAGCAATGCTACGGAGTGCACTCACTCTTTGCCCGATCTTTGGTGCTCTGAACGTGTTGCCTTCTTGTTTCTTGTTCCACTTTCTGGTGGTTCTGCCTCGCTCCTAATAAAGCATCATAAGTAGCAAAACATGGTTTCTTGATCCAGTTGTTGTATGCCTGACACACAGCCTTGTCAGCCATTCGGCAAGCCTCTGTAAACCATGGAATATCAGTGTACGTAGGACGGATGCATCTCTATAAGGTGGGATGAATTTCTCAATACCTGTCTTGATGATTGCCTCAATGTTTTAACCAGCTACCTATGGATATTCATTGTTAAAGACTTGATCCCAAGCCCTACTTTGTAGGTGCTGCCCGAGGGATTCCCAGTTAGCCTTCTTGTAATCTCATAATCGTCTATGATATGGTTTGTCTACGACAGGTGGCTTTTTGAAGATGATATCCACAGGGCTGTGGTCAGATGTTGAAATGTTGGCCTTCGCGCTTGTGGTGTAATAAGCAGCGGAATCAACAATGACAAGGTTCGTGAGATTTCAACCTCGGATAGGTTCCTTCACCAGTTGATCCGAACCATATGTCAGACAGAGGTTTTGGCACGCAATTATTTCCTGCTGTATATGTTGGTGATTTGCTAACCAACCAACCCTGGTTGTGATGGACATTGAGATCTCAAAGAATCATGACTCGATCTGAACCTGTTGGTTGCACTGTAGGACAGAATCCAGGTTGTCAGACAAGTAGTCAATAAGAAGACAATTCCAGACACGTGTGGTCTAGCGATGGAGAACTGGAGTCATGATCGTGAGGTTGTGGGTTCGAGTTCAGTGGCGAATCCAGTGGTGGTGGGGGGGGGGGGGGGGGGAGGGGGCACCCCTTGCGGATTTTTTGACAATTTTTTTTGTCAGCAATGATTTGAAGTGTTTATAGAGTTCTTCTGACATCAATCCCACCAAAGAAAACCCGCTCAAAAACCATTACAATGCGCCGTGAAAATGCGGTTGGCCCCCCCCCCCCTGACATCAAAAGCTGGATACGCTGCTGTTCGAGCCCCATCGTGGACATGCGTGTTGTGCCCTTGAGTAAGGCGCTTTACCTCAATTACCCCTCTCAACCCAGGTGTTAAATGGGTACCGGCATTATTCAATGCTGGGAAGGTAACAGACTCGCTGTGGAGGAGGTGTGGCGATCCCCCCACAGCAGCATATGAGTCTGGCCCAATCGCTAACGAAAGAGAGATGGGCACTCCGTTCCTGTTAACACAGGTTCGCCCCATGGGCGTCGCGAGGGGGGGGGGGCAAGGGGGGCACTTGCCCCCCCCCCCCCCCCCGGAAAAGCAAAAAAAAAAAAAAAAAAAAAAAGGAAGAAAATGAAAAGAAAAAAAAAGAAAAGAAAAAGAGTCGCGAAGAGAAAGTGGTGTAAATTTAATGAGTTGTGGGGGGGGGGGGCAAAATGTCCCTGCCCCCCTCTAAAACTAATAAATCGAGAATGTGTTGAGAAATACAAGCATTTTGGGGCAAATTTTTTTCTTTGCCCCCCTCTAGAAAAAATCCTGGCGACGCCCATGGTTCGCCCCCCTTTTTTCTCCAGGCAGGGAACCAGGGCGACCTGGAGGGTATTGCGGAACCAAATGGCAAGTCCATCCCATCACCACTGCGATCTCGTCTTACAGGTGACTCATGTTATCCACTAAGAGACACATACGAATCAGACACTGTAGAGTTCAACATTGTTTCAGTAGCATTAGCGAGCAGTAGCCGAAAGCGGTGCTGTTGAATAACCGGTACTCTCTTCATTCTATTTGAGACACAACAAGGTACAAAAGTGGATGGGGGAGAATTGGACTGCAGCGTCATCCACCGGACGAGGAACATACCTTCCACGGTTTCAAAGACGAAGCATTCCTACCCTCTTCCTAGGTGTATCCGCCTTTTAATGGCATCTACTCCATAACGGGTGGTTCCACTGCCCGACCCAGGCTACCTGAGTTGCCCAGGTTAATTAACCGCCGCCCAGGACTCAGTGTGGATGATCGCTGGTAGTACTGTCGCTCCAATATGGCACAAAAAGCCTGGATTTACGCCAAAGTAGCAGTGGGAAAGATTTCATGAAGAACATAAAAAACTACATGTTTTGTGGACAAACACATGGCTGTTTCGGCAATTCGTTGTTGTAATTTTTATGTTACCTTATAGACTGATAGGACATATATGCACAGTAAAAAGTTGCATAGTGATCAGTGCTAATAGTTTGGTAGCTATAGGCTTATAAAATGCACCTTCAATGTGACGTTACATTTCATCTGATGACGTCATGGTGACGTCACTTCAATTTTCATCTATAACACATTCCGGCTTAGGCACATTCCAAGTTACAACCAAATCGGACCTACTGTTCTGCAGATATAGGCCATAGAAAAATGTACATTGAATGTGACGTTCTTGTGAATGTTAAGAATATTTTTTCTAGAGTTTGTACCCAGAAAATGGCGTCACTACAGCACTATCACTCGTAAAAGGGCCAACCTCGTGCCCCGTGGGTACGATCTTGCAGCACCATGTTGTTTCCCATCATGCCTTGCGCGATCGTAACCCCTGGAATTGTGTAATTTAAATGTACCAAAATACGGTACATTATAATTAGGGCTGCAGTTTATCCGTTTTACGTGCCGGCGCCATCTTTAAAATGTTAAAAGTTGTGATTTTGAAGAATCAATCCTTTCCAACACAACGTTTGGACGTTGTGTTAATTAGCAAAGATTTGTATTAAATGTACGTACCCCTTTCGTGCCTTTACAACCACAGATACAGGGTTTTTTTTAGCGAAAAACGCGGCTGACATAATCCATATCGTACAGGCTTCGCGACTTTTGAATCATAATTTTTGTTTTCGTACGTGACGTTACGTGCAAAGCTAAGCACGCGAGCGCGAGCGCATTATGGGCGCGCCCGGCGTGCAATCTTCGAAATGCCCGCGCAGTACGCTGTGAATAGCCATTCAGTGTCATTTACGTCATCATCACAGCCAGGGGTTAGTGTAAGGAACGAGAACGCGCCCCTGGAGACGAGGCTGTAAAAGGGCCTAATCAGGTCTAGAGCGCCACCAAGCGGCTGCATACAAC